CGCTCCTGCTACGTGTGTTTTCCTGGTTCCCTTGTGTTGGATAATTAAAGTCTTCTTGTTGATGTACTCCATGTCTCCTCGTTTCTCACTCCGCGCTCCCTCACAGTAACGAACGTGACACTTGCACCAAGGGTCTATTTTTTTATATATATATAAAAACTATAATTTTTACTCCACATATCTAAAACACTGATGAGTACATAAATCCCTTATTATTGTATAGACACAAAAATGTAATGTTCAAAATAACAGTGTTATTTTTCCCTTGCTGTTATGTTTAATTCTCTGTTTTAGTTATTCATTGTCTATGTTTTAGTGCGTTGTTAAGGAAAGAGCGCATTCACAACGTGCCTACACATACAAACTACTAGCACATAGTTGAAATTTGATGCATTTGTGTAATTTTGTGCAGAAGCAAATTAAAATATTGTGTTTCTTATAGGGCCTATATCTGATTATTCTCATATGTGAAGCATGCATTTGGGTGAGCACTGATCAGTTTACTTTGTTCATTCATTGTTCAGCTTCAGCTCAAGCAGCTCAAAGTGGGTCAACGTTATTGACTGTGATTGGATTGTTTGAAACACGGAAAATAATTTTTCAATGCTTTTGCATTTATTTGCAAAACTTTTGGTGTTCCCTAAAAAACTTGCATTTGGTCACAAATCTTTTGCAACTGCAAAATGGGTAATGGTAATAATATGAAGATGAAGGAAAAACACACAACTTCATTGAAATATGATTTTTCATCTTTTCATGTTTTTATTTATTTTTATTTTTTATGATTATTTATTTATTTATTTATTTATTTTTTTGAACCACCGTTTCATCTTACAGGCTCCCTAATTCATTATCATTGATGGAAAAAAAATCTTCAGCAATTTTGTTATCGAGACTCCAACTTTTAAATTTGTTCCTTTTCCTTCGGCTCATTTATTTCCTCTTCTCCCATCTTCACTTGTGTTGTGTTTACTTCTCCTCTTGATATGGGTCACATCACAGTTGTCCCTCAACAAAAGCTGTTAGGGCAGATGTCGAGAGCCAGGCAGGTTCTCCAGTAACTAAGGTTGGTTGACATACAAAAGCGAGCGAACCTTCAGCTACATCTGTGAAGTTCAGGAAGACGGACAGCTACGGCGTTCTTTCACCTTCCTTTTTGATGAGATGGCTGTCAGATGTCTCTGTGCCTCCACTAGAGTTTACATTTGGAGTCCAAGTCTGCTTCACACTACAAAGACATCTAAGACTCTCTAATCCTCAAGGCCAGAAGGTGAAGAAAGTTTCCAGGGGTCAAACAGCATGAGTAAAACCATGACACTCACAGATACTGCTAAAGTTTACTTACTGGACATGCTCAAAATTCTTCTAAGGTCTCTTATAAATATTTAAGTTCTACTTGCTTCAGGTATGAGTTTAATGTACACATATGCAGTGATGGAATATTACTGTGATTACTGTAAAATATGTATATCATTCAGTTTTAGTCAATTTTCAGTCCTCGTTTAAATTGCATGACAAATGTCTCATTAAATTATCAATATTCTGAATTCAGAATATGTAATATATTTAATTCAAATAAATTAAAATATGAACTCTTAAAACTTAAAAAGAAAACGTTTCAAAATTCTAAACAAAGTTTGATGAAGGGCATTAATAAACTAATTTAATTAATAAACAACAAAAAAAGTCAAGCATTTTTCAACAAATGTAGTTATGTAGTTAATTATACTTTTCCCAGAAATTATTTAAATTTATTTGGTGCAGGCAGTTAAATTGCACACTTTTGCAGGTAAAAAGCGTCTTGAGCACTGGCTGCCATTTAAAGTTAGCTATGTATTTTGACAAAGTCATTTTTTGCGAACAACATTTAAATGAGTATTTTATAATAGATGTTTTACCATGACAGTTTCACGTCACAGCTTACAATACACATTAGGGAAGGGTCATGTGATCTTCCAATGAGGTGACCAGCTTCATGTAAAATAAAACAGCTTTTATTATAATATATATTTATCATTTTTAAAAAGTACTAATAATTTCTTCTTTGGGCCAAACTTTTTAACGAGGTAAAAAATTGCACCTTTAACTTACATATTATGATCTCATCTTTGAACAATTAGCTTTGCCAGATAAGACTTCACATTACAGCCTTCATAGCCTTGGCCATTTGCAATGCCAACAATATAAAATATATAACAATATAAAATAAGGTTGACAATTGATAGTAAACAGCAGGACTGTGATGAGCCTGTGATACACATCAGCTTGAAAATAACTCTTGCATTTAGTCTCATTTGCAGAGGCCATTGAGTAATAAAAATACAAGATAGCATGCATTCTATTCAGCAGTAAAATTATGGTGTTCAAGCACAATAACAATAATGGAGAAATTGCCACACAGTAGTTTTTGTTATTCGTTTTCCCACACTGGAATTATTTTTATACGACAGAGCATAATAAAAAGGAAAGCACAAACATAAAACAATAAACTATTCGATCAAGTGGAGCTTACATAGTCAAATTTCCTATATCACATCCTGATTGGGACTATAACAGAGTTTTACAATAATTTAAATATGTAATTTCATTAAATATAGCAATTGCAAAGGATGTATTTTTAATTGTGGGTGGTCTGACAAATACTGTGCATTGAGGTAAAGGGAACTCAACCATAGAGAAAACAGAAAATGGGAGAGGCTTCTGAAGGAAAACACATTCCAGGAGAAACCAAGGTCAGGATGAAACATAACAAGAGCAACTGACATGAAAGTCTGCTTTCTACTTCCTCTGAAGACAGACAATATATTTCAGACGTTGCTATGTTTAATAGTAATGGGGCATGGGAGTATAGACGCCTCTGTGTGAGGGCTAACGTTTAGACTGCGTTGCATCATAAGATTTCATAACGTAAGCCAGACACGTCTTCTGTTAAAACGTTAAAAAAGCAGGGTATATTATTTTTATTCAAAACCATTTCTCAGATTTATTCGAATAGTGTAAAGCAAGCCCATTTGTGGCCAAAATTCATGAATATGTGTTATGAACTACACCTCACAGACAATGCCGCTCAGTATAACGCCCTGAGCCATATCTTTAGAGAGCGAGCGTGCAAAGCAAAACACTTACATCCTCGATTCATAACAGGAGGGAGGAGAGTGGAGTTAAATGAGTCACCGAGTGGTGCCACTCTTAGATAATGGCCAAAGCCCACTGTGGGAGAGTGAGAAGAAAAAAGGCCAATAAAGAATTATTCAATGGATTTTCATCTTTCTGCCAGCACAAACGCTTGTCGTGCCAGGCGTTCTCCCAGCGGCACCCACCGAATGATATTCAACGGTCCCTCCAATTTCAATATGACAATGCCAACGGCAAAAGCATCACGTCCCTCGCTGCTGCTCCGCAGATACACTGAACTTGGTGACATCGGCTTGATGATCCAGTTTCGGCTGGTTTTTAATTAACCCGAGGGTCAGATCTCAAAGCACACCACTTTAGGGAATTTTACTATCTGGATGAAGGACGGTTAGATACATCCACAGATTAGAGATATGGAGGAGATTTAATTGACTACCCTTTATGATACTCCAGAGAGGTGATGAATATGTGCACTTCCGTAATGCTGAAATTGGAAAGTAGCCTATTTGTATTAATGCCAAAGCATACACTGCATAATAATACCGAATGCTCTATTGAAAAAATCGTCGAACTGAATGACGATATTGAATGGGTCCATCAAAGTCCATGCCGACGAAAGCACTTACTGTAGCTCCATTTGACGTTAAATAGACCATCATGAAAGCTGAAATTAGAGGTTTTGTTCCACTGTTTTCCCGCAGTTATTAATCATTTATGCGCAATGTCACGAAAAGTAGAAAGTCAATTGGAATGTATGTATTTCTGTAACACGTCTGTCTCGGGTTCACAGCGGGAGGCAGCCACATATCCTCACCGCCGCGGTTCTCCAAAGAGCAAAAGTCCTCCCTCGAACGCGTTGCAGAAAAACAAATACTGCCTTGATATCATACCGAACACAAACCCTCCAGAGAGGTGTAGCATATCCTGAATGCTCAATGATCTCATTAACCGCTGCCCATCTCACAGGGAGGCGGAGGTCAGAAGTACACAACACGGTTGTAACCTTTTGTCTCCTGGCAAAAATCAATGACTGCAAATTATATTTAGAGTAGATATGGAAAGTGAGACCACTCATCTCGAGTGGCAGCTAAGATAATCATCCGCAATCGCCCAAGTGTCTCTGAAGCTCTCGCCGCTTTAACTAGGAAATTAGGATGAATAACTACACATGCACAAAAAAAGAAACAAATTTCACTCAGAAATTGCTAGTAAATTTCACAAACAATGAGTTAAACATGAAATTCAGGAACAGTATCTCCGTGTAAAATGTACTCCAGTAATCTTTGTTTTAGTTACAGCTTTGAAAAGTCACTGCATGCATCTTCCAGTAAAATAAAATTCATGGTTTTGACAGACTTCACAACTTGTGATTTCCTCTTACATTTAATGCTCTCTAAACACTCTGAAACAACAGTGACTCTGTCAAAATTTCTTTCCCAGCAGACATCAGAGAAACTTTGAAGAGGTGCTGTTAGTGTTGATAGACTTTCCACTTCTTTTATTCTTTCCCTTTTTTCAATGTTAAAGCCCAACCACTGAGAGGCTTTCATTCTGCTTTTGTCTCACAGATGTGACCCACGCTTCTATTCAGTATCTCCGCAGGGGCACACTCAAATGAGCTCTGTTTTTAATGGCATAATGAAGCTCTCTTCCACAGCATCATGGGAGGCCAACGTTAAAGGTTGGAGTTTGTAATGGATATGCCACAAAGAGGCTCCGAACGAGTCGCAAAATAAATTAATATTACGTTTTGGATAAGACGTCAAACATTGCGGCTGGTTCTTTGTTCGTGCCACCAACATAGCAACGGTAGCCTGGGCTGACATTTCCCGTTTGTTATGATGTTTTGTTTTTCATCCTGCTAGGTGCAAGTGCAATCTGCATGCCAACAGCTGTGTTTTTGACAAAGGGAAGCTGGGGTGCGAGTGCGAGCACAACACTACGGGGCCGGATTGCGCACGCTGCAAGAGACACTACCAGGGCCGAGCCTGGAGCATGGGCTCCTATCTGCCCATCCCCAAGGGTACTGCCAATATCTGTGAGTACATCCTGCCATCTCCTTCCCGACATGACTCATGGGAAAGCATAGTGCTCCATCAAGCACCGAAACGTGACCTTTTCAGTCGTGTTCCAAATGACATTTTACTTTGAGAGCAACAAAAAAAAGGACCGACAATAAGTCTGTAGGCAGCACATATTACAGAAACTCAGGTTTTCCTACAGCTCCAAAAAATGTATAACTAGTGGCAAATGGCAGGCTTCTGAAATCAGTGTTATTTTAGTATTACTGATATACTATTATATGTTTTGTAAATATTTTGAATTAGAGTTTTACTTTTATATTTTGTGTTTAAGTTTTTAGTAATTTTGTTCTTTTTAGTAGTTTTTTTTATATATTTAGTTTTAGTTGTTTTAGTACTTCAAGAAATGTTGCCTTGATAACAAGCTAAAATAGGTTTAATAAATTTTAATTTTAATTTTTTAAAAAGGTGGGTTTTAGTTTGACTTAGTTCTCAGTTCCTCTTCAGGAACTCGAGCTGCGTCGGAGAACGCTTCGGGAACGCCTTCTGTGACCACGCTCTGAATCACATGTGAAATCAGTCCAATAGTGGAGCGAGACGTCATGACGTGACGTCATGACCAGGAAGCTATAAAAGTGTGTACGGCGGAGCCGGCGTCAGCTTTCTGTCATTCAGCAAAGCGCTCTGTGCGTGTCAGTCATATTTATTGTTGTCTGTCAATTGTGAAAAGTTCATAAGCTCCAGCTATGTCTAAAGCTCATGCTAAGACAAATCATTCTAAGGGCGAGAGCAAGCCACGCTATAGGTTGTGTGTTCCTCCCTGCCCACGTTACATCATGGGTGGGGATACACACAGCCTGTGCGTGGTTTGCTTGGGAGCGGAGGGCTCTCTTTGAGAAGGGAGCCTTCGCCAGCGTTCCTCGCGGTGCTGGCCCCGCTTCCGTCGAGGCAGAGCGGCGGCTGCATTCGTGGGGTTCACAATTGGATCTGGCGGAGGGAATGGAGACAGGCGAGTCCCTAACTCCTTCCTCACCTGCCAGATCCAGTGCCCGATCTCTGGGTTCGGAAGCCCGTTCTGCGGCTACTTCCTCCTGGGGTGACCAGATCCAGCGCCCGATCTCTGGGTTCGGAAGCCCGTTCTGCGGCTACTTCCTCCCGGGGTGACGGCTCGACGCTTCTCCTGTCTTCCTCCGAGGAGGTTGACGTGGAGGACGTCGAAGAGGTTTCGCCCCCTCAATCGCCCCAGTATGAGGAGCTAGTGGAGGTGCTTACTCGCGCCGTGGCCAAATTAAAGATCGATTGGCCCGCTTAGAAGCAGGCCGAGCCGCAGCGAAGCAAGTTAGATGAACGCTTCCTGTGCACGAGGCCACCACCTCCATGCCGGAGCCTGACATTTTCCCCCGACCTTCACACTGAGGTGTCGAGTTCGTGGGCCAAGCCTTTTTCGGCCCGTCTCTTCATCCCTGCCTCAGATTATTATGGGAATGTGGCGGGGTTGACTGAGAGTGGCTATAGGGCGATGCCCCGGGTTGAACAGACGCTAGCCAGCTATCTGTCCCCAGGCATGGCATCGTCCTTAAAGGCTCCGGCACTGCCCTCCAAGCCGCTGCGTACAACATCAGCGCTGGTGGGCAAGGGGTACGCGTCAGCAGGTCAGGCCAGTGCGTGTCTGCACACAATGTAGGTGTTACAGGCGTACCAGGCAGACCTGCTTAAAGAGCTGGATGAGGGCGAGGAGCTTAACTCTGATAATATCACGGAGTTAAGAAGAAATGCTGATCTCTCTCTCCGCACCACCAAGGAGACCGCCCGCGCCATTGGGCGGTCCATGGCAGCAGAGAGACATGTGTGGTTGACCCTGTCTGATATGAAGGGGCTCCTCCTCGATGCCCCGCTTTGCGCCTTCTGGCCTGTTTGGTGACGCCATCAATTCCGTCGTCGACAGGGACCAGGAGGCTCATAAAACAGGCGCCGGCGTTTCAGCGGTTCCTCCCTCGCCGCATCTCAGCTCTTCAATTCAGTCGTCGACAGGGACCAGGAGGCTCGAAAACAAGCGGCGGCGTTTCAGCGGTTCCTTCCTCGCCGTATTTCAGCTCCGGGGGCTGCTGGGTGGGAGCAGTCCCCACCGCGTACCAGCTCCTCATATAGGGAGACTCAAAAACAGAGCGTTGCCACCCGCGCTCCCCCGCGTCGGGACCGGACGCTCTGGGTCAGGGGCTTCCAAGCCTAAGCCGGATCTGCGGACCGTCCTTCAGGCTAAGAGGTCCTCGACCAAACGGTCCTGACTATTTGGGTGCAGGACTAGCGAGGGCTGGCCCTTCTGGGGAAGAAAGGTTCACACCGCATTACACGGTGCCCGTCTCCCCCCAGTGCCCTCGGGAGATCGTTCTGCCAACCCTGCCGGTGTTCCAGGGCGCAGCTCCCCTGCCGGTGTGCCGCTTCAGGGCACTGAACTAGCCATTCTGGGCACACCAGAGATCAGTCTCGAGAGACTGATTCCCTTAGTAGATTATTTAGCAGCGTGGAAGCTACTGCCAAATGTATCTCAATGGGTCCTGCGTACTGTAGAAAGAGGCTACAGAATTCAGTTCAGTTCTCGTCCGCCTCGATTCAATGGGGTCACCCCCACTCTAGTGGGTCCCAAGCAGGCTCTCGTATTAGAACAAGAAGTAGTTACTCTCTAAAAGAAGGAGGCCATCGAGGTGGTCCCTCCGCATGAGACAGACTCTGGGTTCTACAGCCGGTACTTCATTGTTCCGAAGAAGGAAGTTCCATCACAGGAAGTTCCTGAGGTTCGTTTTTGGGGGCAAAGTAA